GAGAGAGAGAGAGGGGCTCATAATACAACACATTTACCTCTTGCAATTGTGAATGGATTGAAATGAAGGCAAATGATAGTGGAATAAAGTGGATTCACCACATCAGAATTACCATAGATGTACAAAAAATACTCAAAAGAGATGGAGGCCCATACCTTCATTACAGTTGACTTAGATTTTATATTCATTCACATGCATCCATTTTGTTGCTGACCACTTATCCCCTTGAATCACAGGACAACCACCTGGTCAAAAAAATAAATTAATAAATATAAATAACAAGTCAGATAATAAATTTAATTGTTCAAGCCGACCCCAATTAGTTGGGAAAAGGCTTTGACGATGATGATGATAATAAATTTAATTGATCAAATACTTGTACAGCTTCGCCCCCAACAATGTCCACTAACAAAATAAATAAGCTAGTTGATATATAGAAAAAGTCTGACCATGCAAACTTTTGGGGTCCAGTTTTGCATCGGGACTCATGCTCCAAAAGAGTAAAGCATCGCCCATCCTTGGTCTGACAGAGATTCCAGATTTTGCACACTCAGATAGCTCATCCCACCATGGAACAGAGTTGTTGGTTACTTTAGATTGGGGAAAAACAGTCTCCCCACCCTTCTCCACATCAGAACTGTAGAATGCAATGTATAGGTGCATTTATGATTAGTCTAGATAAAAAGGCAGAGGTTAAACCAAAAGAAGATAAACACCAAATTGTCCCATACATACAGGTACATGAGAATGGTAGCTATCCGTTGACCACCATTCTTGGTGTTGAATTCATCAAGGAAGTAATCAAAATGAGGCTCATATTTCTGTCCAGGCTCATAGTGAAGAACTTGAAGCCCCTCTCCATGTTCTGTAACCAAAAATAGCATTAGTTTAATTTAATTTTGCATGTAAGAAAAAGTAAGGACTGCTTTAATTCTTAAAAAAAGCATGTATATCCAATAGAGATGCTTAGCTTAGTCTGGAATCATATACTAGAACAGCATTCCTTAACAACTGCTTTATTGTTCGCTATCAAATCCAAATTCTCCATATATTTGAAATTTTAAAAACTCAAAAATGAAAAGAAAGTCATGTAAACAAAAGAACCAATTGACATGTCAACATCTTTAGCCTATCCATACTAGCATTTCCACATCAAAGCATACAATTCTAGGTTATTCAAGAAAAGACAGGTCCCTTTAAATTAAATACACAAGGTTGAGCTCACACGTATTATGATTACTTTCCAGTTTCTCTCATTCATGAATATTAGTGTCCTTTCACGGGGCAAGGACTACGATCAACAACATGACGTTTGATCTAGATAGATATTGCAGACACGTACTGTTGTTAATTCTCCTTGTCCATGCAAAGACAAATTACATGGACTTCCGTATTTACTTACAACGCATGTTTGAAGGAAGAACAGTCATTGCATATGAATTAGACATCGAAGGTGGAAGCATAATCAAGAAAATAATCTACAGGACAATCTCTCCTAGTTTATTTCACATATGGATTCCAAAAAGGCCAGCCAATGTATAGATCTGTGCTCCTAAATTCTACTGATATGTTTGATCCCATCTTGTATGATTTGCCACTAGATACAATCACAAAGGCACCATTCCATTTCAATTTCCTAGCCAAATTGCAATTTGGATCTGTCTAGAAATTTCTCACCTGCAATTTGACCTCGAGCTGTTTGATTAGGAAATTTGAATTAATTCCCATTTGGTATTACAAAGGCACCATTCCATTTCAATTTCCTAGCCAAATTGCAATTTGGATCTGTATTGAAATTTCTCACCTGCAATTTGACCTCGAGCTGTTTGATTAGCAAATTTGAATTAATTCCCATTTGGAATTAAGCCCCCTATTTGAAATTTTTTGCAAAAACATTCAAAGTCGTTTCGCAAAAATCTCTTTTTCTCTCTCTCTCTCTCTCTCTCCAAAAAACAACCATCATCATTGCCACTACTATCACTCCACCACAACCTAGCCACCACCCACTCCACCATCACCACCATAATTGTCGAGTGCGGGTGCATTCCCGGCAGTGGGTGCTGGCTTGGGTCCACAGAACCATTGATTGCCGGAAGCTCATTATGGTTAGACTCATCATTTGTACGACCTATATCAAGGGGGCGCAATCCTTGTCACAGGGAAACGGGATTCTATGAGGAAGGAATCGCAATAGTAAGTTTTAAGGGATCATGAATGATGCATGGGTTCATAGCACCAATGGGCACAAACTTGAAACTGTGCATATAAATCAGTGCCAAATAGAGAAAATATCATCTGCACTGCATCATACACTTGAGAACCACAATTCAAACCCGCTGGGAACGAGGATCATAATATAGGGATCCACATTCCATCCAAGATCCCTACCTGGAATCACGGGATCAAGGTTCCAGAGCGGAGACCTACACAATTCCAGCAACTATGACCACCACTAAGCCATCACCGGCACCACTACCACTGCCCAGCCACCATGACCACCATCACCACAGCAACACCACCACAACCTACCCGCCACCAAAACCACAACCGCTCCACCACCACCACCACAGCATCCTGAATCCTCCTGCCCCACCACAAACACCACCACCACTTGCAATATAGCCCTACCACCATCACGCTATTGCTACCAGCACCACCATCACACCACATAATAACAATTTATAGCTCAACAGTAAGCAATCAAACACCCATAGAGAGCAAGTAGCAGTTGACCAAATTGCCATTTGGTCCATTACAAATTCAGAGAAAAACCTTTTGATAAAATTCAGCAATCAAAAGGTCCCAAAAGGATTATCTTTAAGTAGTGTAAATATATAATATAATGCATAAATAAGCAAACAAAGTTTTGTCAAGCAAAAATTAAAATATATAAAGGTGGAAAATACAATTTAAAAGTGGTCAATTTCCATGAAAGTAATTTAGAAACCAATTTGTTGTTCTAGAATTAATCATATCATTAACAACAAGTGGCCTCAATTTTGACTTTCTTTGACTTAAATAATACAAAAATGTTAAACACTTTTGAGCTCCTTCACTGAATTATGCTGAAGGTTCAAAAGACAAAACAAAAAACTAAGAGGTTCAGTTTCCAGACATGAGCATTCTGAGTGCCCCCAGTTATTGACTACAAATCCAGCAGATCATCAATACGTGATTTTCCATCCCAAACTACAGAAATGTTGTCGTTCACCAAAGAAATGAAAGAATTATACCCCTAAATATCATACAAGCAGACTATTTTTCATTGGAGATAACAAGCACCAAAACAAATAATGGAAATTCAAAAAATGTTGTGGTAAAAAGGGCCGTAACCCCTTGCTGGTCCCGCCTAAACAGGGTCCCGGGAGGGGTGGGCTGGTAACGGTCCAAACCTTTGGCTTATGCACAAAGTGGCCGCTCCCAAGACTCGAACCCGCGCTCTTGCACTGGCTACCCGAACCTTTTACTGTCACACCAAGTGACAGCCCCTTCATAAACTGTTGTGGTAATGTATCCAATAAATGCATTTCCTGCCATCAAATAGAGAAACCTCATGCATAAAGCAACATGCCTTAAGTGCATGCCAAAGAATTTAATGCATGGACTAGGAATACCAAGCTTGTTAAAGATCGTTTGGCCTTAGATTACTAACAACTTCAAATACCACACTACCACAGATCGATCTCCATCCCTGCCTCCCTCCCTCCCTCCATCCCTCTGAGAGCAAGCACCACACTGTGTTTTCATGGTGTCAGTCATATTGGACCCTGATCGTGGAGTCAACCAACTCAAATAGTATCACAAAGCTTTTTTCCAGTCAGAAGAGGAGAAGGATATGGCTTGCCATTGATGGGTATTACTCGCCCGTATTTATGAATGGAAACTGAACATGAATAATGCTTCAATACAGGAGGAGTATCTTATAGAACCAGAGGTTTCCATTGATTTCCCAGAAATGGATAATGAATTCATGGATCTAAAGAACAACTACAGATATATCCAAATTGTGGGCTCTGAGAAAAGCCCAAGGATTGGTAACATTTGGACTTGCACCCTGTAGTCCTTTCGCATTAAATATCTAGGTCGGTCGGTGTCCTCTTTCTTTAATATCAGTAATCTATTTTCTTTCTCATTCCTAGATAGGGCAAAATATAATAGGATAGGAAGGCTAAATTTTGAACCATAGTTGTTGGAAACGCCTGGGAACCCGAATAGTTTTAGGAACTGGAATCGCGGCTGGCTAGAAGATTCATGTTTAAGGAATCGTTGTTCATACAATAGGAATCGCTAGGAACGAGATTCCTAGTTTTTGAGAATCGTGTTTCGACAGAAATAGATCTAAGTTTCATCCACCTATGGAATCGAGATTCCATCCTCCTTGGAATCGGGATTCCCATCCCCCTGGAATCGACATTCCAGGAGTCAAGATTCTTTAATATGCGGAATCGAGTTTTCGACATCTATAGAATCAAGTTTCTGACATATGTGGAACATAGACATATTGTTGTTTTGAATCATTATTCTAACATATTTGGAATCAAGTTTTTCAAGTATATAAATCAGAGATCTATGCCAGTTTGAGATCGAGATTTACAATAATATGGACTATGGAATGCGTTTGACGACCTCTACCAGGAATCAAGATTTCTTTTTTATGGAGAGAGAAACCACAAGCACATCTTGAGCCTCATCAACTTTAGAACCTCTATTGGATAGCTTTTATTAGGTTTCCCGAATTTTAAAGTGACTGTGTTGACAATTGAACTTATGATCAATATATAATAAAGACAAGTCATTCCTAAATCGTGATTTTGACTTCATTATTATAAATACAAAATAGGATTATGTCTACGCCATGGTTTTTCTTTTAATTGTATGTGTTGTATTTACTAATTATATTTTAAATTTAAAGTAAAGGCCATCCAGGGTGGCACAAGTAAAATAATGAAACCCTGCAACCACTAGAAGGCATTCGAAGGAAGATTTCTACTCCAATTGACATGGAGTCAAGATTTAATCCTCGCTAGAATCGAGATTCGATATATGTGGGAACTTCTACCCACAATTAATGGGTTCAAGTTTTCAAAGATGTGTTGGACCGAGATTCTGAAATTAAGGAATCGAGTTTCCTTGCTTCCCATAAATGGTTTCTAAAGATGTGTTGAATCGAGATTCCGAAATTAAGGAATCAAGTTTCCTTGGTTTCGAGAAAAAGTTTCTAAAAGAGGTGTCGAATCGAGATTCCGAAATTAAGGAATCGAGTTTTTTTTGTTCCGAAAAACGATTTCCGTGGAGATTCCTTAACAGAAATGCAGAATCGGGTTTCAGAACTGGAAACGGGAGGTCAGTGGAGAGATTCCGATAACTATGTTTTGAACAACTTGGGGACAGCAATGCACAGGTAGGTCATATTCCGCTATGAGACAGAGAATTGAGAGTTCTTCAATTCCTATTTCTTGTTCCATATCATTGCTCATCCCAACTTTCACAAAGAAAATGCTCATTGTTAGATTTTCCATTGCTTTCTATGGACCATAATTACGCTCTCCTTAAGCCATTTAGCACTTCTTGTTCTCTTTCTAAAAGTAGTAGGAGGCAAGAGTAGAGAGAGAAAGCAGTATGAAGATCAAAGCAGATAGAGAAAACAGTATGAACCACTTTGGCCACGTGACGAGAGCGAAAGTAGATAGAGACAGACAGGGAGTTGTCTGATGTGTATTGCTTGCACCCTTTTTTTTCAATAAAATACAATCAAACATGGACACAAAAAGACATATCTGTATAATATACAATTCATATATATGTGAAGTACCCTAATTGCTTTATTCAAATTACTATAAATTTGAATATTTAGATTCTCTTTGT